ATTATTATTTTTGATGGAATGGCAGTTCCTTGCCGTGAACAAATTAGTTTTACTTCCGCTTTTATTTTACTTCTATTTTTATTTTCATTTCGTAATAAAAATGTTTTGTTTTGTTTTGAAAGTAAAAATATAAAGAATCTACTTCCAGTTCAATGAAAAACAAAATAACTTTAAGTTTTTCTTTCGCTTTATTTTCACAAAATAATTAAAGTTCAATGTAAAATTAACAAGTTTATGTCGTTTTGACGAATGGCAGTTGTCGGCCACCAAGAAGGACTAAACACAACTGCAACGTCCCCTTCTCCCAAATCACGCGCTGATATTTTCGCGCCCAGTGCCTACGCTTCATCCCCACTCAGATCTGACAAAGTTTATATCCTTATTCTTTTATGTTGTACGTCATTTCCGCCTCTCCCTTTTAATCAATTTTTATTACGACATTCTCCATCTATATCAGTCAACAACAACTTTATTGACTTTATCTTCGACATGAAGATTTCAGTACCAAAACAATAACAAATAAAAAAAAGTAGAATAAAAGTTAAGTAAGAAAGAAAGGAACAATTGAATATTATCATAAAAAGAAAATTACTTGGCTATGTACGGCTTCTACGCTACTCGTGTGGTAAGAAAGTTTAATTAGAGATCGGATGCATAACAATTTAGAATATTTTCAATATAAGAGGCACTAAGATTTATGATGTTTTCATCACACATGGACATGATATATAAAAATAGTGCCTTGCAAGACATATTCGTAAAATTACTGTTCATCGAGTATAGGCTCTCCAAGAAGATACCCCTTATATGGGAAAGTGATGAGTGGGTACATTTCAACAAATAGTGGAATTCATCACCAATTTCGGATCTATTACAAAGGGGGCAAAGCCTCTCAACTGTGGGTATTTTCTTGTAGCGCCCAGATTCAATAGGTAGCAAGTGGCAAGAAATTCGCATTTTGGTTACTGCCACTCTTGTCTTAACGTTCTTTATTAAATCAAGATAAGATTCAAATCTGACTTCGCTTTTCTTCAGCTTTGCTTCTTTTGTTTCATATTTTCACTTATTGCTGATTAGATCCTTTATTAGGATCCGGTTCTTCTTTTTTTGTAAGCTGGTCCTTGCTTCAAAAATTGAATTTACAAATTTTTGGTTTGATCACTCTACCTCTTGTTATAAATTGTGCGTTTTGGGGGCGAGCTAAAAAGCATAAGAAGTCAAAGTGTTGGTGAGGACTGTGCAGGTCTACAACTGGTCGAAAAGCTGGCTACCCCCCTAGCAGTTGATTTTTTTAAAATTCCCAGGTTCGCAAAATTAGTTCGCAAACGATCCCCGTTAGGTAAATTTTGAAAGGCCTGGGTCTGCCATCTTTTGCTCTGAGATATAAGGGGGTGGTCTATCTTCACTAGAAAATGTGTGGAAAGGGTGAGAAATGGTCATTGCATTATCCATGTTAAGATGGTATTTTTGAGATTGACATCACCGTGGTAACGTGTTGCGTGACCAAGTAAAGCTTCACTTCCGTATTTTTTCTTTAAGGATTCTTTAGGCAGGGTAAAACAGCTGTCCATGGCTGTCACTGCCGGGATGATATGGTTTATCTGTATTCATTTTTCTTTTATAGCCCCCGTTGAAGGTTTGTGTTGCAAACGGAATTATCGGGCAAATATAATTCACCACTTTATTGTTGTTTTCTTTCTTTATTTTTTTCTGTCACTCTTCCTGCCTAAGGATCAGTTTACTGTTTTAAGTTTAAATTTGGTACTCAAGATTTTACTGATCCAGATCTACTAAAGATCCGGCGGACCCTCACTGGTTTGTCGTTGTGGTTTTGCCTTCACAAGCGTTTCTGATATGGTTGTGCGCATGCGTAAGGTACTGGCCATATCGCGGAGTTATCGCCGAGTTGGTAGTGTGGGCTTCAGTGCATAATTTGGTTTTTTTTTTACCTATTTAAAGTACTTTCCAAATGTAACTGGAATGGTGGTATCTCTACCCTGGATGAATTTTGTTCCGGCTGTCACGTGAAAGAAAAATCGCTACATTTGTTGATAAAAAAATATATTTATTCCCGACTGTAAAATCAGCCTTGCTTCTTTTGTTTAATATTTTCACTTATTGCTTGTTAGATCCTTTAATAGGATCTGGTCCTTCCTTTTTGTAAGCTAATTTTTGCTTCAAAAATTGAATTTGTTTATTTACGACGACGATCCTCGTTTACTCAACGTCCCCATTCTGGCCGGAGACAACACATTGGAAGTGGGAAGTTTCGTTTGTTCTCCTAGAAGACTGACCTGAAAGATAACGGTCCTAAAAAGTCTGGTTGCCTCTCAGCTCGTTTATGTGCTCTCACCTTTACATACAAATGTGAAAATTATCAAAGAAGTAAACAAGTTATTTTTTTCATTCCTCTGGAATGGAAAAGGAGATAAAATCAAACAAGACATTATAACAAACGATTATGCTAATGGAGGACTTAAAATGATAGACATACAGTCTTTTAACAAGTCCCTGAAAGCTACATGGATTAAAAAATATCTGGATGAAGAGAACCAGGGAAAATGGAAATATTTTTTTGATATAGCGTTAGAGCGATTTGGAGGCACAATAGTCCTCACTAGTAACTTAAGCAAGAAAGATACCAATGAGAATCTCAAGATTAAGAATAACTTTATAAAAGAGATCCTTTCAATCTGGGCGGAAGTCAATTTTGATGAAAACATAACGTCCGAGAAACAATTTCTTGAACAAACTTTATGGCACAACTCACTCATTAGAATCGATAACTGTCCCGTCTTCTATCGTGAATGGTTTGATCGAGGCGTTACGAAAGTGAAACATTTGAAAGATGAACATAACAAATTTTTATCACTAGCTGAGCTGCAGCAAAAATACAGCCTCAAAGTTTGTCTTTTAAAGTATTTCGGACTAGTGTCTGCTCTAAAATCTCTTTGGACTACATGTAAAACAAACTGCATCAAAAACTGCAACAATTATGAAACCTTTGTAGTAAGATTAACAGAATGCCAAAGTGCGAGCAAACTTGTATACACCAAGTTGCTTTCTACAAAATGCAAGTTACCATCCCATAATCAACAGAAATGGCTAAAAGACTGCAACGAAAATGATGTGGAGGCGATTAATTGGCGGGAAGCCTACCAGTTGGCCGCTAAATATACTAAAAGTACAAGAATTATTGAATTCCAATATAAATTTTTACATAGACGAATATCAACGAACGACTTCTTAACAAAAATTGGCGTAAAAGACAACCCAAATTGTTCTTTTTGTAATAATGAACCGGAGAAACTTCTTCATCTTTTTTGGTCTTGTCCTAAAGTGGCCTTTTTCTGGCATAGTTTATCTCTTAAGCTGACTCCACATTACACCGGAACATTACACATTAGATATATTTGTTGTACTTGGTCTAAAGCCGGATTCTTCAAAAAACTGCCAGCAAATTAATTTCCTTTTCCTTCTAGCTAGAAATTACATCTGGATTAGCAAAAGAAGGGAAACCTCGCCAAAGATAGCAGGCTTCCTGCAATACCTCAAATCATTCTACCACATAGAGACCACTGCAGCTCCCATTTTACCAAAAAATGGGAAAATGTGAGCTCCTTATTTCAGTAAGCCTTTGATTTTGTATACATTTGTATATCTCGATCCTATGCTCATTTTCTCCAGCATTAACCTGGTGTATCTTTTGCTTCACAATCCCTGCCTCTTTAAGACACTTAAGATAAAAGTGCGTTTCTATAAGTGCGTTTACCGTGAATAAATGTTGGTTTTGAAGTACAATTACTAATTAGAACTGCTTGTAAATAGTGCATTGTAGTGTGAGTAGTGAGTAGGTAGTGTTGTAAGTACTGAGTATTGTAAGTCTTTGCATTGTAAACAGAGTAAGTACCCTAGTCTATTGTATTCTAAATATTGTATTGTAAGTAGTGTAAGTATCGTAGTGTTTGTAAGTATTTTTGATTGTTGATTGTTGATTGAATAAATGTTATTAAAAATAAAAAAAAATAAATAAATAAATAAAAAAAAATAGAAGACTGACCTTAGTCATGTAAGACCCCGAAGAAGGAAGGCCGTGCCTTCCGAAATATTGGTAAAAAATATATATAATCCCGACTGTAAAATCAGCCTTGCTTCTTTAGTTTTACATTTTAAAAATGATCACTTGACCTGGACATGCCTTAGCTTCCAGCAGGAGCCCATAACCCGGAGCGAGCAATTTTCATGCGGTCGTGTCACGGCGATTTCACGGACCAGTTTATTTTTAGAACGGTTTTGGCGCGAATTTTGAATGTCTTCACTAAATTCTAAAAACCAGTCAGGAAAACCTACAGACCTAAAAATGATATTTTTTGCCTTTTAATAACGTTTAGTTTTCCTTTTTGATATCTTGTGCTTCCAATGCGCGTGGAGATTCTATTTTCGGGAGAACAATTGCCCTAAAATGTGTCTAAAAATAAACTGGTCTGTAAAAACGCCGTGACATAGGCCAAGTATGGGAGTTGCTCGCTTCCAGTTAGTTTCTTTAAATTTCCCAGCAAACGATCCCCCGCCATTGTCGACCGCAGATGAAAAGTAGAGGAATGGAAAAAAAACATGGATGGTGAGATGAATGCACTGAACGCGTAAAACGATGAAAATTGAATAACGCGATAAATCGACCGAACTGTTTTTTCTGGCAATATTGGTTCACCTCTCTTTCAAGCATTTGATCTTTCGTTGCCATGGAAATTTAAAAGACAATTTTTCGAATGAGTCCTGAAACTGGTTCGTCAAGAGAAGTTCTAGCCGTAGCCTGCGAAAAGAGCCGTAGAAACGGCTGTTTTCGCAGGCTGCTCTAGCCGCTGTTTTATCCTAATATTTGAAATTGCTCAATGATACCACGCACGACACGCAACGAAGCGCGCACAAATAGCGGACATGCGCAGTGAGTTAGTCACCCCCAGCAGCGCCTGGTTGGCAAGAACGCCATTGCAGCAATCATGGCGGATCTCAACAGCAGCCTGACAGCCATGGACTGGTTGCCAAAACTCAGCGTAGGCACTGCTTTAAACAATGCCAACGCGAAAATAACAAACAACAATAACGATCCAGGCAAGGATAAAAGTCCCTTTCGGAAACCTCCGAGTTCCCCACTCGATCCGAATGCGACTTTGGACGACGATGAGGCACAACAACACAAAACCCGCGAAAGCAAACCACCGTACTCGTACGCAAACTTGATCACGTTTGCGATTAATAGCTCACCCAAAAAGAAGATGACTTTGAGCGAGATCTACCAATGGATCTGCGAAAAATTTCCGTATTATAAAGAGGCTGGAAATGGCTGGAAGGTAGTAAGCTCTATCTGTGTGTAGCACTTGTATTTCTTGTGAAGCAAAATATCTAAGCTTAACTTGGAATACTACGAGTTATCTTTTTCAACTACTTAGCGAAAACTGTTGTAACTAAATATTGTTTGTCCTTCGCAGAATTCCATTCGGCACAATTTGTCTTTAAATAAATGCTTTATGAAAGTTCCCCGGAGTAAAGACGACCCGGGAAAGGTAAGTAAGCTCATCAACTTATAAGTTGATTACTCGGTTGAACAGATTTAAATTCCTTGTATTTGACTGCATTTTATTTTTCATTCTAGAAAACGTTTTGATATTTCTCTTTTACTCTACTTTAGGGGTCATACTGGGCAATAGACCAAAATCCGCAGGACGATAGTGCCCATGCTAGACAGACAAGGAAAAGACGAACAAGCGACTCTAGGGTAAGATCACGATCGGTCACAGAAAGAACTTCAATCCACTTATTAAATGCGAAATTAGCTTACAAAGACTCAAAAATCTATAACTTAAAAAAAGAGCGATTGACGATGTTTTTGTGTGGTGAACTAATCAACGTGAATGTACATGGCGTAGGTGAGTAAATAAAGAAAAAAACTTTTAAATTTTTTATGCTCGCACTCTATCAGTATATTACACGAACTGGAAGTGATTTAGTTGTGGCGCCATTTCGCGGGAAGTGTGATTAAATTGTTGCTGTTGTCCTTCGTCGTGTTTGATGTTAGTTTGTCGAATTTTAGATTTTTGGTGTGTAACCTTCGCTAAATATTATGGATAACGTTAAAGATGACTTGACAGAATGTTACTCGGATCCAATTTTTGCCACAAGGACGTTGATTTCATTTGTCTACAAGAGCATGTCCTATATTAGGTTATTTCGACTGCCCTAACAATTACATCACCGTCACATCTTCAAGCACTTTGCGTGAAAAAATCTTAATAGATACCACTCTATTTTAAGTTTTGTTCATATTTTGTTACTTCGCCTATTTGGTTTCGTTTCATGAAGGTTTTTCACATGTCGTGATTTCGAGGCTAATTTTGGGCACTTGAAAGTAAGAGTTTCCTGCATATCTCCGCCTTTCATCATTTATTTTAATAGCTTATTAAATTTGGCTTTATTTTTGGAAACAAAACAGCAACTAACAATTTCTTTCTCATTTTTGAAGGCTATCTTCCTTCTATAGTACCTTTTCATGTTTAATTATGATCTGACTAGCACTTAAAAAAACAGGTTACGTGAAACGAATGTCTTAAAAAATTAATCTAAGTGAATAGTCGGCTTTTGTTACCCCTTCGACATGGAACAGTTGTAATTGTATTTTCCCATTTTTAAAGCTTTTATTAAAAAGAGATATGAACCTGTGATAGTACAAATTGAAGGGTTTTGTTACTTTTCTCAGTGATGGATCTAGGGGAGCCCTCCCCCCCTCTTATTTTTAGACAAAACTGAGGCCCAAATGGCGTTTTTCTAGACGGGGCATACCCCTTATCTCAGGGTCTCGATGAACCCCCCCTCTACTACAAGTTAAACATGCCACTGCGCATGATCAGATGCACATGACTGTTCATTTTTCTTGCGTAGTGCTGCGGCAACAGTGAGTTGTTGAGCTGTTTCGTATAGTCGCGACTACGGAGAACATTTTGCTCACAATTTGCCGTCTTGGTGATTCTGGAATCTCGTCTTTTCGTAAAAAAGTTTTCAATTCACCTGCTTTAAGGGAGAGGTTGAGTTCAATTTCTGCTCAGATTTACACTTTTAATATACTCGAACCATTTAAAGTTTTTATTACAAACTATAAGCTTACTGTTTATATGCAGAATTCAGATCGACGGCTGAGACCAGAAATCATGCAGGTAATTTATTTTCTCTTCGCACTTTGAAAGTTTCAAGGTTTGTTTGGAATGATTTGTGTGTTTTTCTACTAGTGTAACCTTTTTATGCGAGTTTTTATATCGCATTTGCTGAATGAAAATGATACAAACACCTTTGAGATAATCAAAATTCAGCATTTTGATACTTCAAACATTTAGTACATCACTAATCGGAGAAATCCATCTTATAAATCTAATAAAAGAAATATTACAATTTCTGCAGAAAAATAGAAACTGTGCAACCAAAACTTTGTTCACCAATTTCACTCGAGATCGCTAATTTCTCCAAATGCAGAAAAATAAGCCACTTGCACTAAGAGGTCACGTGACCAATGCTTCCTTTAAACAATGAGTTGGAATCTTGCTGATGCTAAAAATTGACAGAGCACACAAAAATTATCTTGCACCCGAAATTTGAGAGGAAACGCACATAAGGGGGATATTTTATGTCACTTTGATTTTTCAACAAAGTAGTTTGATTTGTATTGGTTGCCATGTTGGAGGGCATACCCTTGCCCTCCAACATGGCGACCAAAACTAATTTTTGCTTACATCTTGTTAAACGTTTGATAGTTACACTCAGATGTGCTATAAATGTTATCACATTATCTTTTCAACATTTTCCTTGAAGTTTAAGTGCAAAATTTGTGTTCAGAAAGAAGTACGGTAAGTTATAATTTTAAAAAATCACATTTTGGTCACGTGACCAGCTATGAACTTACTCATTTTAAGAAAATGGTGCGGGTTTGAAAAACCAAATCACTATTATTTTGTTTAAGATGTGACCCACTAATCGTTTTTGGAAGGCAAAATCATATAACGTTCATTTTCATAAAAACGATGTCACATGAGCTCTTAGTGCAAATGGTCTATTGGTTCATTGTTCTAAAGATAAGTTCACATGCAAAATACTTGCATTTTAGTGAACTGAACATGAAAACAAGAAAATCTTTGTGTGTTGTTTCCGTCTCTCTTGTCTTGTAGTCTACCGTCTGTACTGCAATCTTAATGTTCTATTTTTGCACAACTCAGCCTAGATAGATAGGTAGATAGATAGATAGATAGATAGATAGATAGATAGTTTAATAACCAATACATTGCCGCCCGAAGGCTGAATTGCATATTTACAAATGATTGAACTGATAAAAATTTTATTAACCTGTTCAGACGGTGTTCAGGGTCCTTTATAATGGTGTCGAAAGTATTACTACATAGCCCCGTGATGAAATCTACAATAGGGACAATGTTCACTAGTTCGATGGTCTCCTGGTAGGGCAGTCCTGGGCATATTATAGACATTGCCTGCTTCTCAACTCGCACCAACTCTTCTTTTAGGCACTTTTGCAAGGCATAAAAAAGGGCAGGTGCTGCGTAAGTAATAACAGAGCGTATATAAGCAGTGTTAAAGGTGGACATATCATGCCGAGGAAATCTTGATCTTTTTAACAGCACTAAAAAATACAGACGCTTTGACGCTTTCTTGATTACATCACTAATATGTTCGTTCCACGTAAGGTTGCTCGATATGGTCAGACCTAGTAGTTTCGCTCTAGTCACTCCCTCTAGTTCTTTGCCATCTACTACAATAGGCACAAACTGGGGCTCATTCTTTACAAAAGATAATCTGAGTTCCTTACACTTTTCTCTATTGAGTTTGACTCTATTCTGAATAGACCACTCTGCGACCTTATCTCCGATATCCTGGGCACAACTGCGGTTGCCCTTGGCAACGACTTCTGATGCCTTCGTATCGTCAACGTACTTCCATACATTAGCTAAATCATCAACATCTAAGTCATTTATAAATACAAGAAACAGCCATGGGCCTAATTTTGTTCCCTGAGGGACTCCAGAGGGCACCGAACCTCACTCTGAGTAACAGCCCTCAGATAGTTTGATTCTTTGGGAATGATTAGAAAGGAAATCTATGATCCAGTTGATAATTCTTGTAGGCAGATTCAACCTGCACAATTTCTCTACGAGTATTCTATGATCTATAAGGTCAAACGCTTTTTTATAGTCAAAGAGAATAGCTATAACTGTAGCGCCGTTGCCATCAGTTTCCTTGGACCAGTTGTGAATCATGTGTATCAGCGCCTGGGTGGTTAGTGCTACAAACAAAGGACAACTCTTATCCTACCCTACTTCGTAGTCTGTAGTCGCTGTATCTTAAAAACCCTATATACTTGAGATGAATCTTAATAGTCTTTGATCAAAAGCTTTCCTCCGTGAGAATGTATGTTAGGGGTCAATTTTATCCTTGGGTTAAAATTTTCTCCCTTGTTGTGGCTACTACCTCCCTTTAAGGAAGGTGGTAGCCACCATGTCATGGTGTTGTAAGTTTGTAAGTCCGTACACTTGCACAGGAAGCCAACTATCTTGGTCTGGTTGAAATTGTGGCCGCTTTAAAAAGCGGTTGAAAAAATGCTTTTGGCGATGCATTTCAACAGCAGATTTATTTTGCAGAGAAAATGGGAGCGATTTGGACCAACAGTTTTAAAATAAGAGGAAACATTGTTTTATTAAAATATTTGTGATGAGTCTACTATGTGCTTCTGCCCCATAGTTCTTTGATTGTGTACCTGAACAACTGTGCGGTATGAGGTTCGAGCCCTAGCAGTGAGTTTTTTTCTTTTTTATTTGCGCTCTTTTTTTGGCTTTTTGTTTCTCTTTTAATTCCTAATTTAGTTTTCTACAGCACAGTTAGAGGTCTTACCAAATGTAAGACACACAGGAGTCTTTCAGATTAGCAAGATGGTTTAATAACTTGGGGACTGGATTTAAAGAATCTTTGACTTATCAGAAGAGAAGATGAGCATTTGCTCTTCGACTCCCTAAGATCATGGGGGATATACAAATTCCAGCTGGTTGGAAAGTGATTTGAAAGTGAGAAAATGTCATGCTATGCTACTCTTTGAGAATGTGCATGAGCCGTAAATGGATGTGATTTTGACCTTTAGGCGATTTGGCTTCAAAATAGCAGCAGAAATCGAGATAAGAAAACATAATGTGTCCTACTTCGCAGACGAGTTGCATCGGGTTTGTATGGCATAGGGTATGTTCTTTTATTGCCATGGAATGGGTTTGCGTTATTTTTTACTGTCAATAGCCTTTACTTCCGTTTGCCGGTGGAAGTTTCCTGAGAAAGGAATTAAATTAAAGACTTTTTGCCAATTGTATGTCATCATCTTTAGTGATGTAGTGGTGAGGTGAAGTTGTGTGGAACTGAAGGTGCCGGGTTCGAACCCTGCTCTGTACACTTTCTTTTTTCCTTCTGTCTTTCTTTTTTTTGTTTTTGTTTTGTTTTGTTTGCTTATTATTTTGCTTTGTTACTGTTGTTTTTTAAATATATACCTTCCAGAGCAAATGTAGTATAAATTATTTGTAAATAAACAATCTGAATTTCTATCATTTCCTACAATTTACATTCCTTATTTACTGTAATATATTCTACAAAACTAAAACAGTAGCCACATGCAGTCACAGACTGCCTTCTATTTTTAGGTTTGGTATTGTTTGATAGTAAGTTTTTACGAAGAAAAGTGGCATTTACATTGCGACTACCGTAACTGGGACCACCTACCTCGGATCACAGGAAAATAACTATACATTCTGAGAAAGTTAGTTGCAGCCTGCACAGGGCAGCTACCTATTTTTGTCTTGAAAGCATCCGAGAATTCGATTTGTCGGGTAATTTGTTTGGAAAATTGTTTTGCTCTTTTACCAGTTCCCAGTCCCTGCTGTGTAGCACCCTATCCATCATGCTAGCAAAGTAAAATGGCGGTCCAGTTCATTGAAAATACTTATTTGCATTGATCTCATGAAGTAAAAAATGAATACAACAGAAACGAATATGTACAGTGCAGTGGCAATTCACTAAATCAAAGATTCTTTCTGAAACCTTTCTTTTAAATATATGTCTTTATTGTGTATTTGTCAATAACAATCCAAACTGACTTTGGAATATGCATTTTATGTACAACCTTTCATTATACAGTGTTTTCTTTAAAAAAATACGGTTAGTGAGATGTATTAATGCTTGTTGTTAGTGATTAAAATCTTTGGGATTTCATTGCTTGCATTATGCTGTGTGTTTGTTTTTATTCCTTTGTCTTGTCACACAATGCTCCTAGAGACGAACAGCTGAGAGGGAGTCAACAATTCACTCTCTCCTTTTTTAATCTTAAAACGTTGAAGACCATGTTATATCCTAAACCAAGATAGAATAGATTATTTACTACCTTTCCAACACCTTGCTGTTTCCACATGGGGCCGGACTTCACTTCCAATATGGAACCTCTAGTTGTCAATCATAATTACCATGAAACGAAATAAACAACATGGATTGAAATCAACCAATTACAACCTGCAGGCGCAACCTTTTGAACCTGTTGAAGTAAGCACATGTTTCCCAATAGGTCCATTAGTCAGAGTGAGTGACGGAAGTGAAAAACTTCAATGATAGTTGTACTTTTGACTTGCAGTCGCACGTTATTGCAAAGCCCAGAAATAATAGTGAAGAAATTTCTGGTAGATTACAAAATAATAGCTTGTGTCAAAGAAATATCTCCTCCGTTTCAAATAGAAAAACACTGTCTGGTAAAACATTTTGCTATCAATATGAAATATTGATAGCAAAAATATTGGCATGATATATTGGCGAAATATTGGCATCCTTTGAGTTATGCTTTGAATGGGTTTGATTAAGAAATTAGAAAAAATTATATAGGTGAGCGATAACAGCCTTGTGAAGGTCAGAGATATTTGATTTGACGAAGCTAATGTCCGCTTTTATTTCCTTAGTATTTTTACTTTTAAAACGTGTCTTTTTGACTTTAATAACATGACTTGCCTAAAGGGACAGAGTCTCTTTTTTACTCAACCACAAAATCTTTTCAAAAATTCTTATATGATTTTATCACGTACATACCTGTGTTCTGATAACTTCTCATCCTCTTAAAACTTTTAGAATTACGGAAAATAACACGCAGCTTTTGTATGGAATGAAATCATGAGTTTGGTGCCATCTTTGATAGTGCGGTATTTTCTATGAAAGGATTGCAGGCCCAGGTTTCATGTTGTTAACCATTTTGATTGTGTGAAGAAGTGCATTTACGGGCCATTTGCTGAAAACGTGGCTGCACTCATCATGATGTGGCATTTTTTAGAAAGTGTTTCACTGCCTTCAGTGTAAAAAAGAATAGGCAGGAGCCCCTACCTTATACGAGAAAAAAAAATGTACTTTCTTATGTTCGTGGCAAACTAACAGACCGTGGCTACAAACTGTGTTTAGCCTCAGACCTGTTGCTTGTTTTACTTTACAGTACTGTTAAAACCCTTTGTTAGTAATAACTAACGGAAATGTAGTGCAAATCAGAAATGTTCAAGTTGCACACAATTTCATCACCATTCTTTCTACAATTCTGCACTTTTGTCAGGGTAACCTAAATTGTAACCGGGCAAGTATGTCATCAAGCTTACTTGCCTGGCTGATGACTGTAGTTTGAAAGAAGAATACAATTTGAAAATGGGAAGCAGTACTTCAAAACTTCAAATAGAAACAATCAAAACATCAGTAAAAGTACCACTGAGGACGCATTTTCAGGGCTTGAAATTAAAAAAATCCTCAGGTCGCCTTTTGGTGACCAACTAGAGAAAAATAGTCGCCAGATGCAAATTTTTAGTCGCCAGTTTGTAAATGATGCAGCTCATAGTCAGCCGGGGCTTCTGATATTTCGCGCGGTCGCAGAGCCACAAAATTCACAAAAACACGCAAAATACTTCGAAATTCGGTAGAAATCTTATCAAATACATGTCTGTACAACATATTTGAAACTTTTCTCAGCTATTTACTTGCCGTAAACTTGTAAATTTATCTTGAAACTTCGTCACTGAAAAGTGCAAACAACATCCCGAAACTACCGGGCGTAAATTATGTTGCGAAAAACTGGGCACTAGCCATGATGTTAAAGATTTTGCCATTGGCTCAGTTCTGGAGTTTCTGGAGCGTATTGTTGTTGAAAGAGCAAATGATGACCTCTGTTAGAAAAACATCAAAAACACTGGTCTGGTCAGCGCAAAACGGATCGATCTCTAACCACAAAATCGCTATTTTTTTACTGATTGATTTGCGGCTAAGTTTGCCCCAAAATTCCCGCGAAATCGGTTGATTTTTCTGCGAATTTGCCCCTAAAAATCCCGCGATTTTTGCCTTTTTTTCCCGCGACCTATCAGAAGCCCTACTTAGTATATGGTGCGATCCATCAGATTTGAAAATATCGTGGATAGGATTCGGTATAAATTTGTAGGTAAACTGGCTTTGTTTATGCGATTTGGCACATTTTTTATGATGAAAGCAAAGCAGGATAGGATGAAATGTTTGTTTCAACTTTACTGTTTTAATTTAAATCTAAATCATAGAGAAATCTGGTCGCCACTTTGGCGACTAAACTAGAATTTTTAGTCGCCAAGGAGAAAATGTTAGTCGCATTGGCGACTGTATTAGTCGCAATTTCGAGCCCTGATTTTAAGCTTTAGAGCCTATTAACCTCCCCTTCTGTGAGATTTTCCAGCTTTCTTTTTCACAAGGGGAGTGTGGATTTTTTCTGGAATAACCCATTATGTTGCTCACTGCTGATGATTTCCTTCCCTCAGCTGTCACCATATGGACCAGAGGACGGACGCATTTCCCCATTAAGTCCACAGGGATCACCTTGTGGATCACCAGCCTCACCAACATTGGCTTCTCTACAGTCCAGTGGAGGATATTATGGATCATCACCAACTGGAGCAGGTTACATGGGAATGTCACCAAATACATCCCCTACAGCCACTTCCCATGTAGGTGGATTTGGTTTATCTCAAAGCTATGGAGAACCTCCAAGAAAGATTTTCCCTGAAGTAGCATTTGAGGATCTCAGTGCATCATTTAAAAATCTGTACAAGTCTGTGTTTGATGCATCACAAGGTGGGGAGAACTTTGGTAAGTGATGTTTAAAATGGAATTCATTGGCTTTGACATTTTTTTTTTTAATATTAAGTTCAACAGACAGTTGTTATTATTGAAGCATATTCTTCATATATTTTACGGTGCCAGTCGCAATGTTTGTCGTGATTGATGTATTAGCCGATTTATAACTCCTCCGAAGTTTTTGTGCCAGCTAAACAATATGGAAACACTATTCACAGTCCTTGGATATTAAATAGACTGAAAGTAGTGCACTATGTGCCCTTGTTTACTTCAGATCACATGTGCATGAACTCTTTCTTTTCAAGCAATAGATCTCAATGCACAATTATTATTGACCCTTACATTAAGTAAAACCTTTTGGTTCATTCATATTAATACTGTTTTTGCCCCTCACATTTACTGTCTTCGTTCGTATTCATAACGCCTGTAGGAAAATAAAGGTTGTGTAAGTTGTGTATTATGTTTCAAGATAAATTCAGTTTATATCTCCATAAAATGGTACAAGAAACATCAAGAAACCTCAAGCAAGCTGAAAAATTACAAAGGCATGTTTTTTGAAACTCGCTACCGGTAATGCTGACATTAATATATCGTGCTTGCTTAATGGGCGAAAACACAGAATTGTGATCACAAAATCATGTACAAATTTAATGATAAAAGCTTAGTAAGATACAGATACAAACAAAAGCAAACCCCCTGAAACCTCGACCTGAACTACACTGTCTTGTATGCTCTACTCAGTCACCAAACCTTGTCAGTAATGGCTCCTATTTTCCTCAAGTCAGTCTTTGTGAAGCTCCCGGATGGGATGTCCCAGTGAGTTCCTATTTTTGTCCATGTCTTCTTTATCCTCAGTATCCAAAATTTAGACCTCCAAAGTGGTGTGTGTTGCATTAAATAGAAGGAAATATTTAAAGGAAAAGCCAGTCTTCTAACATGGCAAAGTTGTCACGTCCCTCGCTCATGGACGTGCGTAACATCAGGATTCATCTGACATTCGTCGGCAACTGAGTTGTTCACTTCACTGAGTATGACAGCTTACAATCAAGTCTTCAGCAATTGTATCGTAAACTGGTGCAATACTTTGCTCATAAATTGTGCTTATTAATTGCTCATGTAGTACATCGATTGATAATTCTCTCGTTGAGTTCACGAAGCGGCCCCAGCGTTCCAAACCTGACATTCATCTTTTAGTGTGAACCTACCGTGAACAGCGTGTGGGTTTGTATGCAACGCCAGCATTTCTCAGAGTTTCCCAGCGCCAACATCATCAACTGACTTAAACTCGAACAATAAAAAAATTATAGAGTGACTCCTATGATCGAGTCGCTTTGAACAACGCAAATAGCCTTCTTCAGGTTCGCAACGCCTTCTGGGTTTCTGGGGGGCGGAGACGAGGTACAAAAAGTATTCGTGCAAGGGTCCGTGCAAGGAAAAATCCTCTGAAACCATTTGTGAGAACATCATTTGTCGGTATCAGACCCTCGTGTCTTCCCTCTCCCGCGGGACCGTTTTTCTGCACCGACGACCGAAAACCAAATTTATAACTGGGCCACACAGGCAGCCCAGTAAAAATGTAGTTCCACACAAGACCAGCTGGTTTTTTCTTGATTACCACTTAGCCCTAATTACTTTCCAGAATGAGGAAGTGAAATTCATTTCAGGCCCACAAAACATTTCATATTAGTGAGTTTAAGTTTATTTTGCATTCAAGCTAAAAAGCAAAGTTAAAAACTAAAAAGATGTTGCGCTTCATGGAAAGGAGAGGATGTCAGTTGCGTTTAACTGCAAAGCTCAAAAAAGATCTGGGCGTATGGATTAGTAAGGATCTGACAGGGTACAAACAAGTAAACGAACAATCTTTACGAGCTAATAAACTGCTTGGATACTTAAAGAGGAACACAAGGTTCATACTTAAAACCGAAGTAAGACGAATGCTATACCTAGCCCTTGGGGAGCAAGGGATGGCACAGTGGTGAGAGCGCTCGCCTCCCACCAGTGTGGCCCGGGTTCAAATCCCGGCGTTGACGCCATATGTAGGTTGAGTTTGTTGTTTGTTCTCTCCTTTACTCCGAGAGGTTTTTCTCCGGGTACTCCGGTTTTCCCCTCTCCTCAGAAACCAGCATTTCCAAATTCCAATTCGACCAGAAATCAGGTAGACGAAGAACCACTTTGTGGATGTGCTACCTCCAAATCATTATTTATTTATTTATTTGTTAGGCCACTTTTGGGATACACCACCCAAATTTGGGCTCCGCAGTCCATCGAGCTCATTGTCAAGCTTGAGGATGTCCAAAGATGCGTGACTAAGTTTATCTTAAAACTGCCTTATTCTTCTAATATAAGTTATGTCTTGTTTACAAACTGTAAACCTAATACCTATTTGTTACTGGCATGAACTTTTAGATCCAACCCTTTTTTTTTCAAATTGACACACGGTCTTGTTAACGTCAACTCCTCTGTCTTACCTGAAGTTCGCAAATACGGTAGACGCACTAGATCCTCAACCAGCAATGTTAATAAATATGTAATTAAGAAATGTAAAACAAGTACGTACCAAAAATCCTTTCTCATTAGAACTAGTAGAATTTGGAATTGTTTAGTGGATGAACTAGATTTGAGCTCATCGACCTTAGCTTCCTTTAAATTGGTTATTTTTATTTATTTTAAGTCCGCGTTAGCTGTTTCCTACGATTGTGAAGACCCACGTTCGTTCAAGTCTACCTGTTTAAAATGTAATAGCGCTTGTCTTGTCCAATAACTTGTTGTATGTTGCTGTAGTTTTTCTTGTATCGCTGTGTTTTTTAATATTTCTTGTTGTTATTTTTTTTATTAGTATCCGGGCCCGCTGTAATTGGCCCCAGCTGTTGCGGTGTCCCTGCCAACGTTTTTTTCTGTTTGTTTGTTTTTTTTTCTTGGCAAAGCTAATAAAATAAAATAAATAAAATAAAATCATGACCTTTTGGCAGCTGTTGTCAAGCTTTATATTAAATTACTCAGCACACCTCAGGTATCACGTTGCTTCTCTTCCCTTCTGTGCAAGTTCACAGTATGCTCTACTGGTTTTGTATCCGTTCTGTGTGGGCATAACATTCAATCATGATAATGTTATATTTTTTACAAACACAACACAAAAGCAGCCTTGTGTTTAAACAGTGCTCTTTACCATGTTTCCATGACAACCCATCCAGAATAATTATGTACATTTGCAACTTTGAACATTACTTAGAGTTGTAGCTGCTGTTATGCTTACAGCCCAACTAATACAGCCCAACTAACAGGGGAAATTCCTGGTACATGTACACTGAAGCATTCAAAGTAGCTTATTTGTGTTATTTGTCTGTTGTAGGTGGAGGAAGCTTCAATGTTGGCATGTTTGGGACCAGTCAGAACCTTAACACTTCACCGACAATGCAAAAACAGCATCATCATCACCCACAACAACAACATTTTCAACGACAACAACAACAACACCAGCAACAACAACAAAACAATATCATGCAAAATATGGAACTGCTCTTAGACAGTCTGAACACAAGGAGCTTTCAGAACTTTGACTTGAATACCTGGCAAGTACTTATGGACAGCATGAAAACGGCTGATTTGCAGAACATGGGCGTTGATCAGAATCAGTGGCAGGATTTTGCTTTTTCATTTAGTCAATATCTTCATCAGCAGGGCGTTCTTCCTGATACCAATCTTGTTCATGGTATAAGTCCAACATCTTCAAATAACAGCAGTATAATGGGTAGTTCTCAAGGTATGCTGCAAATTAATAATCCACAGTATCAATCAGGGGGTTCCCCATTACAGGGATCCCAGCATAGCTACAGCAGTTCAGCAAGCTACAGTGGCAGTTCTGTGCACTCTATACCAGGAATCAAAGTCACCTCTCACCCAACCATGGTTGAAACTTTGAACCAACCAACAATGGCTCAAACAAGACCAGTGGCAATTGATGATGATGATGACGAGGAATTTGACTGGGATTCATTACTCTAATAATTTTGTGGGTACGTGACAGCAACTAGTGACAAAAATATATTAATTAGCTACATGTAGGGTGGGAAGGGAAAGATGTACACAAGTTTAGGACTTAGGGACATATTTCATTAATTTTTACTAGTGATAGCATGTATATAACATGACGTTTCAGTGAAGTAATGTATTTAATGCCACAGGATAGAGAGAGCTGAGAACTGAGAACCCTAAACTGATAAAAGTAAAAACCTGCTTCTCCCCTCTCTAACAGTGCTGTTCATCATACATGCATCTTATATAGGAAGCACCTCTCAGTGTCTTCATCAATTCTTCAAGTTTGTCTTTTATGATCCATGTTAGTCTGCTCTATCCAGTCCTCAACCATCTTTTATTTTTTCGTAATAATGTTACATCTTTTTTTTTTGTTACAAGAGTCACATTTTCAGGTTTCCTCCAATTGATGTTACTCATGACACCTTCATCGTTGCACAGGGTTAAGGACTGATGGGAATAAAGTGTAAGGTTTCTTAGGGGGAAAACAAGCAAAAAAATTTGCCAATGCAAGAAATCGCAGTGGAGTTTCTTTCTTCTAGAGAACAGAAAATAGAGAACTTTTCACCTTAAACATTATTATGGCAAATTATGGATGGAAGTGATGCATAGGTGACTCTAGATGTCCTCATAACAAATAATAATGATGTGAATCTTGCCAAAACTTGAACTGTAAAATGTTTTGGCAAATTTTATCACTTGTTTGCCCCCCAAAATACTACATGACATTGCATTTATCCCATTGATCCTAAAGAGCATGCAAAGATGGTGGATATCATGAATAAAGTTTTTTTTCAGAAGACAGTTTGGAAGGTGCGAAGAAAAAGATCCTTCAGATATAAGTTAGTGTGACAGAATGCCTGTTAGGTGTCTTGTTCTCCAGTTCAATCAGTAAGTGTATGATGTACAACAGTTGTAACAGTGATCGGCTCAAAGGCAGTGCTTTGTATTTTTAGTACAAAGTTGTAGTGCTAAGTTATTATTTTTATTATTGTATCATTTGAATGTATATACTTGCAAATGAGATTAGAATACTTCAAGGAATGGGAGAAACTACCATATTTTGTTATGTAACTTAACTTACTGGTATGGTTAGTTGATAGCAATAATGCCTTTTTGTCTCTATACTTTTCATGACATTTTTAGGTTTTATTTGGTCAAACATCACCAGTAATGATATTAGACCATTTCTGAGTCGCCTCATGCCTCTGTTTCAAAGCAAGGCTAAGTGCAAAGTCAATGACATTGAAATGATTTTATATTTTAATGCAAATAAAACTCATTTTCACAAGAGAAAGGCTTGCACTTGGCCTTAGGTTGAAAGAGAGAGTTTTTGGAACTTAAAAATGGCTTTAATTGGAAGAATTCCCAAACAAAATAAGAGAACATTTATTTTTGGTGTTGAAAATTAAGCTCATAGTGTCTTCAACAACTCCTGTTTATATTTATCTGATTATGCGAACAATTTTGGATTTCATCGCTCAGATCAGAATAATTATTGCCCACTTCAAGTGTTGTTTAGTTTTGAGAAGATAAGGTGGGAATCTTGTTGTAGGAGTACTTGACAAAGTGCATAAAGCAACGTATTAATCCACCCACTTTTTTTAATTGAAAGGCCTGGTTCGAGTTTACATTATCTTTTCCAGTGGAATAAGTTTTCTGAAAGTTGGTCACAAAAGCAAATTTTTTTATGAATAAGCTAATTATTACACAGCAGTTTCCAATAACACACAACTACTTTGCTAAATGTGACATGGCCAATAATTGAGTTGTCTGGTTGGGTGGACCTCAGTCAGATGAAATGGGCTGAAATATATAACTTTCAGTCCTCTTGATGCAAAAGAGGCAGAAAAAAGCTACATAATCTGACATCATTACCAGTAATTCACGACAAACAACATGAAAAAATGAATAAAATCCTCCCTTTTGTGAGTTCCTTTATTTTAGATTACTTTTACTTCTTTGACTGTAATAAGAATTTAAAAGGAGATTCTTGCCAATGCTTGAATCTGGGTTTTGATTGACATCACGGTAGACATCCACCAGTGTTGTTGGTAACTGCTGAAATATATGTGCCAACATCTCTGGCCTTTGAGTAAACATGAGTGTGATCTCCCAGCCTTCTTTGTCAAAATTAGTTACGTTATAAAAACAGGATTAGGTCAGTCTGTGTTGTCCATCCATTCAGGCGGCCAGTTTTGGCTACTTGGGTGGTTTACCGCATTATGGGACATTTTATTAAAATCAAAATGGATATTAATTAATTAATTAATTAATTGCCAAGTTTGACTTTTTGTAGTCTTTATAAGACAATTTTTTGTTTGGCTTTGCTATTGCATCTTTAGCAACCATGGCCACATGAAGTTTCACAAGTACTTTTGATAGATTTTGGCATGTTTAAAAAATGTTTACTCTTAGAAAGTACATTGTGTCAAAACAAAAATTCTTAGTAGCTTTTATTCATCTTTGAATGATCACACTACAGTATTTCCTGCACATGAGCCACATAAATGGAAATCTACATTTAAGATGTTTAAACATCCCTCATTTGAATGTCACATGTGGATCTTGCTAAGAGAGAAATTGAATGGTATCGTTCATATTTCCAATCAGTTGTACTTAAAAATGTCATCCTATAAAAGATTCATCACATATCTTGGGTTAATGCTGTATTTGTATGCAAAGCACTCCTTTCAAACTGTAATCTCATTTTATTGTTGGCTGTAAGGCAGTGGCTACACTGCAGTTGACAAAGGTTCACAACCTCATTTTTGAGGTATTCCAGTGAAATAAGTAAGAATATAATAATATATTGGATTACATCCTCCAAACTGGTTCTATATAATGTGTGACACTGTGTATGCAGTGCTTCATCAATTAGGCCCTATGATTCACAGGGTATAGCTAAAAATACTGCCTATTCAGGCAGAAGACATTGTATATTTAATAATATTAATGTTGCTTGTACGTAGCCTGCACATTTTTTAATCCACATTCATTCAGAAACTTTTCAAGTCACGATTAATAACTTTGCACCCGAGATTTTGAGATTTTCCACTTTCCCTGGTCAGAATCCACTGGCCGTTTTGGTGCTTTATCCACCGACAGCAGCTTGCCCAGCTAGCAGTATGTTGTCCAGAGGTGCAAAAGCATTACTCTGAGAGTGAATGGAGTAACAAGTACTTCCTGCTTTGTACTGTTAATCTATATCTTTTAACGGTAGCTTACCGTTTTATTAGGTGAATGTACATATTTTACAAACACTGCGTTTTAAATTTTACATAAGTAAAGCTACGTTAAAGCTGGTTCACCAGCAATGTGTGGGGAAATGAATTTGTAGCAAGGTAGTGAATGAAGACATACCTTTTGGAAGCTGGTATATTGAAATCTGAATTCTGAAGCATTTAGTAAACATGCCTTCAGCCACTTGGTGCAAATGAGGGGCACTCTTGATAACGGCATTCATATTTTATTTTTGTCTTTTTTCCCCTGGGTGGTTATAAATTACACAAAGATGTGTTTGGAAATTAGTTGCTGTTCAATATTTGGACTGCTGGTAAAAATACTTCAAGAATGTATGATTTAACCAACAAAGCTACACCCTGTAAAAGACTTCTTATTTCAGCGTTAGCTGACATCTTTTTCGGTCTAGTCCAGTTGCTGTTTTCATAAGGTCTGTCTTCAAAAGCACATAAGAGTAGTAGTTAAGGTTATCCTCTTGCTACAGGAAGTATTAGTGATGCACTTGTCAAGACTGCTTGTTTGGACAAGCCAGGTTAAAATTTTCGGTGTAGAGTTTCTCACAGACATTGCCATCTGCTCAGAAAGGAGTTTTTTATGTCATTAAAAACGTGGAAAGATAAACATTAGTCCTAGTATTTCATGCTGTCAATGGTACTACCACAGGGCTGAGTCCAATAATTTGGTCTGTCTTTGTACAAATGAAAATAATATTGACATAATATTTTTGTGAAAATTTCAACTTCTCCTTAATTACTCAAGTGCTTCCCACCCTAAGTTGCCACTTGAGAAAGTGTTTCATCAATTTTGACACCTTTTTGTTGACAACATTGTCTTGTAAAACATCTAATCATAGTCATGATACCCCAAACAACTTTTGTCAGATGGTAAAAACGACTACTCCACTATTGTACACTGCAATTTTTGCAGCAATCAGTGCTGCCGATAGCCAATCAGATTATTATAGAGAATTTTGTTATGGTTATTGTTAAGTGAATATTACAACAAGGTTGAAGCACTGATGGCAAACTCCACTTGGTTGAATTTCGTGACCTTCAGTTGCTTAGAAGGCAAGCCAGAGCATTACATTGTGTAGGTGGGATCATGTATCAGAGTGTATGCATGTGTTGCAAAGGTCTGGTCGGAAATCTGGAATTTGTGTCTGGGTCTCAAATAGGGTGGCAAAAATGACACATTAGTCAGAAAGAGGACAAGGAAGTTCAGGAAACATGCCACTATTTTATGACTTCTTTGCTCGACTTCCAGCCATTTGAGGGAAACAGATCCTCTCTGCACACACCCACTCCCCAGAGTCAACTTCCAACTAGGAATTACCCCATCAGTTTTTAAACAACTAGCTAACAACTGGAATGTGAAGTAAAAAAATATCTAGAGCAGGGCTAAATGTTTGAAGGACTATTAGCACATAACCCATGCTCTGTTTATGATAACCTAAGATTGATAGTACTATCCTGTCTTACAGCGAGCTTAGTCACAGGCTATAGAGCGTGCTTTTGGTTGAAATGACGAAGTCTAGTCTCCTTGGCAGCTGGGAGGAACATTATGTGACAACACAAAGCGTGACTATGTAGGAGGCGTTTAATTCAATCTTGGTCTTGAGGAGCCAGGGTTTGTTTAAATTTTTAGTGTGCTCAGGCCAGCTGTTCCTAAAGGAAGTTTTTAAGATGGAATCCATCAGGAAATTGACTAATTTTTATCAGTTTTATTTTTTTATTTAGCCATGTATCTTGCCTTTATACTGTAAGTTATACCACAAATAAACCTCTGAGGGGTTTATTTACACCTCCCCTTCTAGACTTGATGTTCACTATGGGTGCAGCGTTAAATCCTGAAAATACAGTACTTGGAGTCTGGATATTTTCCCTTTTGTGACATTACTCTTATGTTTATTAGTAAAATCCCATAGTGGTCTATTATCAATGCTGAGTTCTGATTGGTTGAGGTACTACTAGGCTGTATGTTATAGCCTACCAGTAGAGAAAAGCACGGGCTTTTTGGCTGCAAAAAGGATTAAAGTCTAGCTTTAACTAGCTAAATTTTTTTTATTCTCGATATTTTTGTCCAACTAGTTGGATTTTACTAAAACAATTATTCCTCTCCCCCTCATGGCCTCTGAGTCAATAGCCTGTTCGGCCTTCGGCCTCATGGGCTATTTACTCAGAGCCCATTCGGACTCGAGGAATAATTGCTAAATATGCATGCTCTGAGGTCATAACCATATGTCAGATATTCCTTGTAAAAGCTTCAGTTTTTTTGTCTGAGTAGATAGCATGCTTGAGAAAAGTACAAAGTGATTCTCCAAGCCTTATCCAGGCATTAAGATTGTGGGAATGGCACAAAAAGATGTGAGCAGGAAAAACAGGAAGGGGGCGTGGGGTAGGGGATGAGAGCTGTACGTTGGGTGTAATATAGTAGTTAAGTTTCATGGCATGGTAATGCAGGAGGAAGGAAGGCCAGGATAAAAGTACAACACTAACAAGCACAGCACCAGACACAAAAGTAACAAGTTGCCTCAGTTTTATTCATAAAAAAAAAGATTTTACAGATACTACTAAACTATGGCAAAGTGAAAACTGTGCATGCAAGGCTGGCTATTCTGCCTTGGATTTTGCCTCATCTTTATGATGCAGGAATACTAAACTGAAGATAAACAATCCCAGCATCATAGAAAAGGCACTGGCGTAGTAAGGATAAGCTGAAGGAATGAATCTTTCATACTGTGTGTGCTCTCTTGGACGTACAGACACCTATAAACAAAGAGACAACCGGCAGAACTTAGATAACATCAAAAGAAAACAATGCAATGTACTAGACAGTAAATGTCAATAATAGCTGGAAATTTTTACTTTGAGGTCACATGACATCTAACAATGAAACTGTTTCCCACCAAAATCTCTGTACAGGCAACACTGCATAATCTATGACATCAGAGGGTAACAGTGCACTGTTACCCGCTAATGTTGACCAACGACTGCCGTTGCAGCAAGGTTTGGGATATTTCCAACATCAAAATTTCCAGCTGTATCACAAATCACTTAAAGACTGGTCCCTCAGGAAACAGTTACATACATACATACACTGTTTACAGATAGCCATTACAACCCATGAAGAATGATCATGAGGTTATCCCTATATTGAGATCTCTCCTAGCAGATAACCCACCCAGCCCAGGAAAGATTGGCCACACCACCTGGGTCTATGTCCCCTACTCTTTTCAAACAGTGGTGTGGGCTCTTTTATGTCCCACAAGAACCAGATAAGTGAAAGTGCTGTGAGACAGAACCTTCGGTTTTTTGTCCTTATCTGAGAAGACAAGAAAGAGGAGAAAGTCTGTTTGCAGATGACATTACAAGGATAGCACTTTCTTCAGGGCTCAGTTATTCAAAGACCCTGCGTGATGGTCCGGCCGGGGTTTGAACCTGTGACCTCCTGCTCAGCAGACCAGCACTCTCCCAACTGAGCTAAACAGGCCGCGGTAATTTTTAATTTTGTTTCCCCCAAATCTCAATGT